GATGATATGGAGAAGATTTGGCATCATACCTTCTACAATGAGCTTCGCGTTGCCCCAGAAGAGCATCCAGTTCTGCTAACTGAGGCTCCTCTTAACCCAAAGGCTAACCGTGAGAAGATGACCCAAATCATGTTTGAGACTTTTAACACCCCTGCTATGTATGTAGCCATTCAGGCCGTCCTTTCATTGTATGCAAGTGGCCGTACAACTGGTAAGTTATTTTTGAATTGTTTGATTAGGTTCAGGTTGTATGTTTTGAACCTATCTGGGAGCTTTTAGATTGAAAATACAAATGAAAACATCCATGAACATTTAGAAAGCTTCTACATTTTATGTTCCATTTTCACAAACATTGGCATACTTTAAATTATTCTTTGGACTGTGTATGGTATCACTTGACATAGCATTATATGAGGAAGAAGCAAATTCTGTGAACTGGGATGCATTTGGAAATTGTGGTTATAGAAAACTGCTATGAAGCTAATATACATCATGTAATTGACCTTTACATATTTATTTATTTGCCTTCTTTTTCCAGGTATTGTGTTGGATTCTGGTGATGGTGTCAGCCACACTGTCCCTATCTATGAGGGTTATGCCCTCCCACATGCCATCCTTCGTCTTGATCTGGCTGGTCGTGACCTCACTGACTTCTTGATGAAAATTTTGACTGAACGTGGATATTCTTTCACCACCTCAGCAGAGCGGGAAATTGTAAGGGACGTGAAAGAAAAGCTGGCTTACATTGCCCTTGACTATGAGCAAGAGCTGGAGACAGCCAGAACCAGCTCATCTGTGGAGAAGAGCTACGAGTTGCCTGATGGGCAGGTCATCACCATCGGCGATGAGCGTTTCAGATGTCCAGAGGTTCTGTTCCAACCATCCATGATCGGAATGGAAGCTGCAGGCATTCACGAGACAACATACAACTCCATAATGAAGTGCGATGTTGATATCAGGAAGGACTTGTATGGTAACATTGTCCTTTCAGGAGGAACAACCATGTTCCCTGGCATTGCTGATAGAATGAGCAAGGAAATTTCTGCATTAGCTCCCAGCAGCATGAAGATCAAGGTTGTAGCTCCACCTGAGAGAAAGTACAGTGTCTGGATTGGTGGTTCGATCTTAGCATCTCTTAGCACCTTCCAGCAGGTTTGTTCTGTTCCTTCTGTTTTCTCTACTTCTTGGAATGTTGTTGTGAAATGTGTTCATATATATATACATTGTTTTTTTTTAATGCAGATGTGGATTGCAAAGGCAGAATATGATGAGTCTGGGCCATCAATTGTGCACAGAAAGTGCTTCTAAACTGTTTGAGAAATAGGGTTATTGAAGGGAAAGACTTTGTTATGAATTCTCGGGAAGCAGTTCATCTTGTAACCCTTTTCTTTTCATTCTAGCTTTTGTTATCCGTTCATGTTATTCTCTTGTTGGAGTGATCATTTATTTCCACAAGGCGAGGAGAGTTGTTTTTTCAAAATGGTCCAGTTCTTTTCATTATTCTACTTCGATGATAAAGTTTTTCACTGGTTCATGAATTAGCTGGATTATCAAACTTGCTTTGCTTAATTATTATCCTTCATCCATTCTATAACTACAGCTTTAACTCTTGAAGCTAAGGGCAATTTTGAAGTTAATTCATGTGTACTTCAGAAATAAATTAAAATTCCTTTTTTTTTTACGTCGAGTTTTGTTTGTATTATATTTGTTCTTATAATTGATGTTACGAATAAAGGTATTGATTACGATTGAAAAGTTAACGTGGCACAAATCTTACAGGAATTGAAGTAGTGATATTTGCATTTCATGATTCTAAATTCCTTCGTTAGGCGAAGAATTTTCTTTTAAGTGTTCAATTTTATAGCGGCGAAACATTAATCAAAACGATGTAATTTACGTCCCCTATTTTAAAGAATTATACTATGATAAAATCTTATTTTGTTAGTCTCTATAATTTCGTTGAATTTTAAATAAGTCTATAATTCAAAAGTATTAATTAAGGCTTTTTGTTTCTAAAAGCTTTTCATTAAATTATAGGTTTTAATTCAAAAGTGCCATCAGCTCATGTTAAATTATAAGAACTTTTTAACTGTATTTTAACGACTTTTATTAATTAAAGACAGTTGAAATTTTAAAAAATATATAGAGAGATCCCGTTAAAAGCTTTTAAGCTGTAAAAACTCGTTTAAAATCTTGATGAAACTATAAGTTGTATAGTAATTTAAACATAATAAAATTAAAACATTTTTATTTATTCAGAAATTAATAGTAAAAAAAAATTCAAATGAAAACAATGTTTTATTTGTTATTCTTCTGGCTGTTTATGACGACAACCTCGAACGCTTTTAATCATATCCAGTGGGAGAAAAAGAGAAATTTGTTCGGTTCTATATATAGTCCTCTTAAAATAATAACATCTATTACTTATGTGGCCATTTTTTTATTTATTTTTAAAATAAAGAAAAATTATCAAATAAAAAATAAATCTTACATACACCAAAATTATTAAAAAATTATTAAGAATAAAGGTAGGCTCAAGTGTGTTTTGGGGGGGGGGGGTACTCTTGTGATAAAATGAATAAAAAACATACAATTGTTTTGATTGATCGTAAAAAAATTATTAAAAGCACATTCTTTAATATATTCGTTTTATTACACTTTTTATTATTAGTTGATATTTATTATAAATTATAAAATTATGAATAAGACACAAAATTAGTAAGTGTAAACTACATAATTTTGTGTTATTTAATAGTAAGAAATGTATTAAAAAAATTGTGTTAAAATGAATGTTGTTAACAATTTTTTAATCGTATTTATTCTATAAAAAATATTGCAATAACATTTAAAGGTTAATATCTATGTCTTGTTTGAATGATGAGATAAAATAAAAGAGAAAAGAAAAAAAGAGTAAAAGGATAAAAATAGAGTCGAAAATTTGAACCATTTGCGTTGGGATAAGTGACGTGGGGGGAACAAAAAGGGTTTTGTGGAAGTTGCATTTCTATTAGTTATTGGGTAGTAGAAAGTTGTTTACAATACACAATGGAGCTACGTAGTTCAAAGTATGAATACTAAAAGGAAATATAATAATAATATTAGGGTGTTTGCCAGTTGCTACACTGGTTTTGTTTTAATTGATTATTTTTTTTCCCATAAGTTTTTTCCTTGACTGCACTAAATTCGTTGTTAACTACACTGATTTTGTTTTAATTTTTTTTTTTCTATTTTCTAAAAAAGTTTTACCACGCTGTTGATGGCCCACGCTGTTCCTATCTATGAGGGTTATGCCCCTCACAGATTTCATGATGAAAATTTTGAGTGAAAGAGGGTATTGGTTTGCAACTTCATCAGAGCGTGAATTTGTTAGGTACATGAAAGAAAGGGTAGCTTACATTCCCCTTGACTACGAGGTAGAGCTGGAGAGAGCCAAAACCTCTTCTTCCTTGGGTAAGTTATCAGTGTTGGTGATGAGAGTTTTAGGTGTGGAGAGATTTTGTTACCAACCATGCATGGCACTGATGAGTCAGCACATGGCATTCATGAGAAGATGAATAACTCCATAATGAAATGTGATGCTGATATTAGGCATGATCTTTACTCCAGCATTGTGCTTTCAGGAGGGTCAACCATGTTACAAGGCATTGCTGAAAGAATATGAGAGAGGAAATTTCTGAATTGGCCCCTAGTAGTTGTTGGAGGATCAATGTGGTTGCACCTCATGAAAGGAAGTATATAAAGCATGGATTGGTGGTTCTATCTGGGCGTCTCTTGCCTCCTTCCAGCAGGTTTGTTTGTTGAGTTTTTCTTTGATTTTTTTTTCATTTGCTTCTAGAAATGTTCTTGTGAGATTCCTTCACATGTATGATTACTAATGAGACAATATATTAACTTGCCTTTTCACTAATTGAATGCAGATCTGGATTTCAAAGGCAGAATATGACGAGACTGGACCTGCAATTGTGCATAGAAAATGCTTCTAAACTGATTGAGCAATAAGATTATTTATTACAGATATTAGCACAAGTTGGAAATTGATTAGAAGTTATAGGTAATTAGGTGGTTAATTACAATTAGTTATAATACTCCCTCAAGATGAGGACACTATACCCCGTGTTACTTTGTTTTGGGTTGCCCCACTCATGTACCAAAAACAAAATGTCTCAAATTAGTTTATGGTGACTCAACTTGATTTCTATCGAAACTTATAAGATTGTGAGAATTAACTTGAGAGTTTGACAACAATGCATCAGATCAAATTAATAAACTATAAGATGACATAATATATATATATGAAACTGAAAAGAGAATGTTGGAGCACTGCATGCTTGAATTTTGAAAATATTTGTTGGGTGCAAGGTGTACAATGATGCATATTATATGGCATAAAACGCCAACCACTCCATCTCTTAAATGGAGTAGAAACTGTTGGTGCGCGTGATGAAAGAGGAAGACATGGGAGGTTGGAATACTTGAATGAAATTTAAGGACCACAAGTGCAAAAAATAAAATAAAAAGACAATGATAAAAATGAAAATGTTGAATGTGAAACATGGCATGGAAGCGACAGCAACTTCACTGTAAATGGTGAACTCAAATTCTAAAGATAAGTTGTTGAGATCCATTTTAAATATATAGCTACCGAGCAGCTTCAGCTTTTGTGGCAATTCCCTGCATCAATATATAGCTTTTTAATTTTTAATTCACTCTGCGTAAATTGAAGTTCTCTTTATTTATTGCTTCCTATTGAGTTCTTTAATAACGTAAAATCAATGTTGTTTTCCTGATAGATGTCAGGGATAAAGGTTTTGGACTCAACTAGAACAGTACACCAAGAACTATAACTATTTACAATCAATTCAAGGATCCAAATCATAATATGACATAACTGGTATTACACTCCCTTTTTTTTTATTAATCTGCATTCTACATAACCCCCCACCTTGTCTAAGTTACAAGTAGTTCAAGTTCTATATTATGTAAATTCTTGTTACATCTCATTACACAGAAAGAAGGGATGCTGTAGTCAATTTCTCTTGATCAACAAAGGGGTGATATTCTTCTATGTCTTCTCTCGAATTTGAATTATTTTCTTGCTCTAGGAGCCTTGAACATTCCATGTGTTCATGAACTTGTTGCTCTCTCTTTTGTCCATCAGCAGTGTAGAGTTTCTTTGCTAAGCTTGTGAGATCATATTTATCATGTTGGCGTTGATCAAAGTAAGAATTACATCTCCCATAAATCTTAGAAGCTAAGTCATTAAAACCTTCATCCATTGTCGAGCTCCGTTGGCTAAAACTTCCAAAACCTTTGATCCCACTAGAAATATGACGTGCTCTTGCTCTTTCTTCTTTGAGAAAATCCTTGTTTCTTAAGAGCTTTGATATTCTTTCTGACAATCTTCTAACACTCAAACCCCAGTTGAAACTGTAAAATGAAATGTAACAAGGGTCAACACTAGATTTATGCAACAAAGTTGTGGCGACAAAAAATATTTGAGCTTAAATATATTTTAAGTCTGAAAAATACATTGCATTTTGTTTTTAGTCCTAATAACATTTTTTGTAGTCTTTTTGTTTTAAAAATTGTTAGTTTTAATCCCCTTACAAATGTGCCTTCACGTAAAAAGCAACGTGCTACAAAAATTGACACTGAATTAGTCACATCATTATTCAATAGTGACTAAAAACTAAAATTAATAATTTTAAAAAATGAAAAGATTTTAAAAAATATTATAAGGATCAAAATCGTGTATTTTGAGGCATTAAAATCATATTTAACCAAAATATTGAAAAGTTTGATACAACACATACCCTTTCTCATCAATGTACTGAAATTGTCCAATCTCCTCAATAACATGTATATCACATTGAAATTCCTCGGATATTCTCTTAGGTCCATGAGTTAGAAGATGTTCCAGTAAAATAAGAGCCTTGTATGAAGCTCTCCAATATCCTTTATCAAATTTGGAGAACCTGTTTTCTCCACAAAATTAGAAGACAATTATTATTACACCTCAAGAAAAGAGTCCTAGAAACCAGAACAGCTTGATAAAATCAAAATATAAGAGATTAACTACCTGTGATGTAAAATCTCCACAATTCTCTCATATTCATCGACTTCAAAGGCAGATCGTGATATTACTCTCGTTGTACGTGTGTCTGGTGGCCATGGATTCTCATTTGTGGCTTCTTCTGTCATTCTTAAGGCCAAGATACAAAAAAACAACGTGAAACGTATAAAAATCAGTCGAATAAAATAAAGTCATGACCTTTCTACTAAATATAATTTTGCATGCTTTCACAAAGCCTTTGATTGCATTAACAAAAGGTTTCTTAATACATCTACTACAAAATGAGTAATATCATTCTTTTGGTACTACATATGTCGAAGTAATTACATGATATTATTCCTTCCTTGTCACAGCATTTCTATTTGATTATTAGCTATTCTGCTTTTTTTTTTTAAATTTAACACAATCAATAACTTAGAGCATATTGAGTCGAGATGAAAAAAACAGAAAAACTTACAATTGCACTGGTGTAACATCAGTGAGCACTAGCCTTGCAGTTTTAATTTTCTCCTTCAAGAACCGAAAAGCTTGACCTTTGATTTCATGGATGAGAGGAGAACTCATATTTGCAATCTTCTTTGGATGAGTTTTGAGGATAACGGTGAGGAAGATTTTAAAGATTAGTTTTGTTGTGTATCTAAATTTCCGTATTTAGATACGTAACCTTTGCAACTGCTCCATTACCAAAAGCACTTATATTTTTCTTTAAGTGGATTTTCATATGTAAAGAGAGGTAGAATAACTGAATAAGCCTAACTTTTGAGTAGGAAATTATGAGGAATAATGTAAGCATGATAATTCAAAGGCAAGTTTTGCTGAAGCGTCTTTGTCTTTAAGTTCATGTCGTTTAGAAGAGTGCCTTTAAATACTCATTGATGGCCAAAGAAATTTTTGACCAGGTGAACTTGCAAAATATTATTGATCTCAATTCCTCAATCTATGTTTGACAATGACGAGTATTGCTCAATATCATTTAATAAACTTCGTCCAATAAATAAAAATTGTACGTGTACTTATTTTAGGTATAAACTGGAGGCTAGCCTATACCATAACAGTGACTGACTTAAGTTAATCCTAAAGGCCATGAAATACTATGAGGCTGTTTATTTTAAATTTATTGAAATTAATTTTTAATTTTTAATATAATTAAAATGTATACCGAAACTTATCTTAATCATATATTTTTATTAAAATTTGTTTTTCATTAAAAAGTGAAAACAATAATTTTCTAACAATAAAAAAAGTGCCTATGTTCATACGCTTTTACCACAAGATCACATATTAAAATTATGAATTAAATAATAAAAAATTACAGATAAACAAACAAATCAAGATTTATAATGAATGTTAGAGGTGTGGGAGTGTGGGAAAAGAATGTGTGAAATGCGAGTTCAAGAAGCAAGGGATTACATAACTAACAAAGGCAAGCCATCAACCAATGTCAGTATATTATCTAATACACAACACAATAAAAAATGGTTTCAGCATTGTTTTATGGGCACGGTACGCGGCTTTGCAAACTCGGTATTGAGAATACAATCTACAGCGGCCATAACATTTATTTCCAGTAGTGACGAACAAAAAGCATCAACAACTTGCCAAAGTTGGATAATGTCTTTCAAATGGGACCAAATGAATGAAAAGTTATCTATAGAATATTTTGATTAAGAAAATAAATACAAACCAATGTGATTAGAAACTATCCCCGATCAACAGTAACAATATAATTTGTTCAATATATTTACCTAGTAGAAAAAGCAATAATAAGGGGAAAAAAATTACTTTAGCCTTTCCATGATCCCAACCTGATCGGCATAATCTGGAAGGTTATGGTTAGTCCTAAAAACTTTAAATATTACATTATTGTCTCTCATGCCCCGCACGGAAGTGAATGATCTCGTATAAGAGGTAACTCTTCATTTGATATGAAAATGCCGCTTTTCTTCCCAGTTGAAATTGATCAAGTAAGCTCAGGTAGAATTAGAAATTCTCCACATACCAGTCCTATATCCCACAGACATGAGCAAAAGCTCCCAAAGCATGTTAGGTATACTCAGAAGATTCACCTTGGATCCTGGAATCTCAGACCAATTCACAGATATTTCTGAAATTGGAATCCCAAACCATTTGCACAGAAAGACTAATTCAACATCAAAGCACCACCTGCAGAGAAAAACAAAGGCTGTAATAGAAAATGATAGAGTTTTCACCCTATAAGCAGGCCATCCAGAATAGATATAAATAAGCAGAAAGCTTGATCGAACAAAAGTACCATAACTAACGAATCAATTTATCTTTCTGACCACTAAAATCTTATTCAATATTCCCAACATGAACTGAATACCTATCTTTTAGAATATACTTGATTGTTACTATTGTTAAATGTCAAACTGTTCTCTATTACTATGAAGCTATTCCCTTTCAAAATTTAAGAAATTATTGCATTCTAAACAGCTCTAAGAGCAATCACCTTTTTAAGCGGACATTTGAAAAAAGCTTCCTGGCTGCAGCCCTGGTAAACATCTTGAAACCACACTGTGGATGTACAAAGTCAATATACAGAATAAAAATCAACATAAAATATACATGCTCAAGCACAAGCATTCCAGAACCAGAGATGCACTGAAAAGACAAATAATGCCACTGTCAACAGGCACTAATGACACAACTCTGGTGAAGCTTTGGTCACAATGTACATTTACGCTATATATGAGTCATGAGTACTAAATCAAAATGAAAAGCCAAAAAAAATGAAGGAAATTACCTGTGTATCACGAATTCCAGGACCAGCAGCCAAGAGAACCACAAGATGGAACCCCTTCATCAAAAAATTGCGGTACCACTTCCTCTGAAAGCATTAATCTAAGTTATTCAACCAATATGATCTACACAAATGGCAACGATAAAGCAAAGAATGAACAAGGCCACACTTAACTGTAGCTAAAGCTTTCTCCTCTAGATGAGCCCTTGAACCAAATACAGCAACAGGGACATCAGATATTCTAAAGCTAGGATCACTATCACTTGAATCTCCATGGTGAAATTCCCTTTTGGCAACAGCTCGAATCTGACAGCAGAAAATTAAACTGTATATCAACATTTGGCACCAGGAATTTAAACTAAAATTTGACTATAAGATCCATCAAAACTGGCATTGTGGAATTCTATTAACCTGATTTTCAAGCTTTTCTAGGTCAGTGACCTTAGTTGCTCCATCAGCATCAAGCATAAGTAGTAGTTCACCTCGTGAATGCAACATTCCCTGTAATACGATGCTTTCAAGGAAAGAAGAAAGCCTTAATTAATTATCAACAAGCATAGTGTGCCATGGACATTTGACATGAGTAGATTTTAAGTTATTAAAGTTTAAAATTAGACTCACTTTTCTGATTGCTTCTCCTTTGCCATGATTTCTTCCTAGAAGGATGACCCTTACCTTGTCTACTGTATATCTCCTCACAAATTCAAAAGCTACTCTTTTTGTCTCATCAGAACTTCCATCATCAATAATTACAACCTGCTCAAGTGTCCATCGACAAGAGAACTTAAAAATGTATCCACACAAAGTAACAAATGCATTTGGAAGAAAATAAGTTGAGCAAAGAGATTCAGATATGCAATGTTAGACCAAAATGATTTGAATGGATAAAGAAAGTACTTGCATTTCACATTAGTGAAGTTAATGACAGAAATAAAGCATTTTTTTATGTAGGTCAACCAGAAACACTAGAGATTATTACTATTACATCATTGTTTCCATCATGTAATGATGAATTTTCTTTACAATTAAAAATTCTATGCTAATGTTTAAAAAAAACAAGAAAAAACTAGAATCTAAAACCAAATACCAAGCGAATGGAATTAAAATAGGGTTATACATAGAAAAACAATATTCAGTCGAATAAAGGAACTGAAAGTACCTCGTATGAAAATGAAGGATCCTTTAAAGCTCGTTGTTGAAGATAACTACAAATCAAGGCATAAATAAAATTATGCTCTTAGTTAGAACCTTAAACAATAAATGCTACGGTAATTCACAAGAGCAGCAGTTAAGTAACTAGTTACACCACTACTCTATGCATATGAAGCCCTGACCCATTCAATAAATGGTACCATGAAAAATGTACATAGAAGTTCAATGTTTCTATTATGTAGAAGGTTGGTTTCAATGTTTCTAATCAATACATACAAATGCTAACAGAGTTGGTGATTTCTGAGTGTGGATCAGCCTATGGACCAGGAGCTGGACCCATGCCCCAGGAACTGTAAATATTCCAGAAGAAAGAAGGCAGGGACTGTTAGGAGTTAGTAGTGAGGTGGCAGTTAGTCACTGTGAGGGTAGTGGAATATAGACTAAGTGTATGGGGGTTGGAGGCATGCTTTTGGTGAGCATCAGACAGGCAGGGATTTTTCCCAAAGGAGCCAGAGGCTCTATATTGTGATGCTGCATTCACCTTTCTGCAATGAACTTTTATATCTCTGTGATTGAATAATGCAGTTATACCAGTATAGTTTTCCTTGTGCACTGATCATTCTGTCTAGAGCTCTAACACATGCAAACACAATATAAAATAATAAAGGAGAGAAGTCAAATAGACTCATTGCAATTGATAACACACAGGCAATAAAACTACACAGCAGAAAGACCAAAGTAGACTGACTCAAAATTGTATTCAAGCCCAAATCCTTTTATTGATATGAATTTGAAAGCATAATTATAGGTAAAAACAGTGTGCTTTCACTTACTTCACAGTTTCCTCAAGAGCTCCTGGAAGCCTATGCTCCTCATTGAACGCAGGAATTATCAGAGAGATATACTTTGCAGCTGGATCAACAATATGTGGGCAAGGAACCTAAATATGCATGAGTAGCAGTCAAAACCAATTCAGAACAGAGGGCTATCTTCATGAAGCTATGCCTTAACTTGAAACCTCTCATAACAAATTAAAAACTTGGATGTGTAAGATGCAAATATATGCAACTGAAATTACATTTCTATTCGGCTTCTACAGGAGCCTACGGATATACATAATGAGGACCAAATAAGAGAATATCAGAGAACTGTATGCTGATAGCTGAAACTTGGGATGTATATTTCGATGCAAGGTGCCCAATGTTGTATGTCAAAAGCACTTGTGATTACCAATGTTTTCTCTTGAAATTGACACCAGAACTGAATTATAAAACGAGAGATTAAGGATATACCATAAAAGCCAACCACTCTAGCTCATAATTGAGCAACGACTACCGACGAAAGAGAAAGACACATGAAATTGGAATAATTTCAGAAGCTCTAACACAATGCAAAGGGAAATATTTACCTGTTTCAATGAATTAGGATCCTCAAAAATAGCCGGAACTTCAACATGCCTTTGGAAAACCAAAATGGAAATATTAAACTAACAATCCAGTCCGTATGCACATAAAACACATGTGGGCATGTATTGGATGAGTAAAAACAAGTACATACTGATGGTTGTTTCTTCTTTTATATGCTTCAAAGAAGACTACAAAGACAAACCCTAAGATCGCAATCGCAGAAAAGGCGACAAGAACACACATATACTCCATTCCTATTGGGGACTCCATAAAATGCTGCAGCTATTGCAAGTATCTTGCCCCTGTTAAGAAGCACATAGAATTAGCACACATTTTTCACCTTAAACAATACATTGCAGCTAAGAAATCATGCAATTCAATATACACACATACATCCATTACAAATGAAAATGAATTTTATTTTTGCATATGCAAAACATTAAATCCATCATTGAACCAAAAGAAGGTCCTTACCAGACATTGATTTTGTAAATAGAAACACATTATGACATGAAACAAAATAAAAATCGAAGCAGCAGTAGTGGTCAGAACAGAGTCAACGTATATCGATTATTATTTTTTCTAAAAATATATGAGAAATTTTTTTTAAAAAAATGTTAAGGAAAGAAATGGAGAGTACTGAATCGAAGATTGAAAGACGAAGAAGAATATAAAGATGAGATGTAAAGAATGGTTTCGAAGAATTACCAGATTGAACTGAACGAAGAGAGAGAACACCTCAACGTCGTTGATCAACAAACCCACTCGATTTTGTTCACTTTTATTTTCGGGCCTTTTTTTTATTTTATTTTCGACCCTCATATTCAAATCAATAGTACAAGAATTAGGCCCAAACTGAGAAAGCCCAACTAATTTCCGAAGTTAATTTCCAATGAGCTAATGGGTTTGACCAAAAACCATATTGGATCTAACAAATGCGTATCAACAAAAAAAAATGTGAGATGAGTATGTATATTTAAAAAAATAAAAAATAAAAAATAAAAAATAAAAAATAAAATGAAATGTATGACCAAAAAAATCAGATGTATAAAATGAAAAAGGGTTTATTCACAGTTAATTTGAACTAAAATATTTTGTAAATTTGATCAACTTTAAATAAAGAGTAAATTTATTATCACTTTTTTACTTCACATATCTCTTTACTTTAAAGAAATTAAATTTATTTAATATATAGTAGTTTATTTTTATTTAATTTTGGGTTTTTAAATTTGAAAATTATTACTTATCTGTTTGTTTTTCTATCAAGTGACATTTTACTTGTTTTACGGTTCTTTTAAATATTATCAGTTTTTATGCATAGCAGTTACAAAATAAAATAAAATGGTAAATTAGACTTAAATATAAAGATTAACTGATAAAATTAAAATCTTGAAACATAAGTAAATCAATGGATGGGTAAATAAATTGATTGTGCATTTTTATTAAAATTTACATAATGACGATAAGTAAATATGAATACGAACTTCGCATCTTTTTTTTTTCCTTTTTAATGTGAATGGGAACTTCTCTTGGGTATAAAGAACTTCAATTTGAAAAATTAGAGAGAATGATCAGCATGGAGTTCATAAAGCACATACTATAAAGAACAATAGCCACATTTTCTTACCTGCAAATTAAAATTAAATGATCATTTTACTTTTCTAGTACCAGTCTTTGTGTTAATATTTCTTTTCCAAATTTTATTATATCTTCCTACTATACCAAATAAAAACATTCTTTTATTATTATATTGAAAACATAAAACTTATTAAATGTATAGGAATAAAGGGTAGGGAGATTTAGAATTATTTTTGTTCCTTGTTATGTATTTGAGCAATTATTACCTTTTAACTTGGTGATCATACAGCATATATGGCGTGGAATCAGACATAATGAGAAAATGTTTTGATTTCACATTATATGCTTACAAGAAAACAAGGGGAAAGAAAATATTTGCTCTTAGTCACATCTCTGATGAAATTGCAAGTTCTAACATGTGACAGTGGATAATACGGACTAGTGGTGGCACCACCTAGAGAGGCCTACACATTTATTGAGTGAAGACTTGAATGGCACACTTGCTTCAATCTCAAAGGACTTAGGACCCCTCAACCTCGTTGAACTTGATAAGGCATACATAACATATGAATCACTAAAGGTAAAGGATTTGTGCTTGCATATGCAGCTGTAAGCATGGACAGACACAAAATGTCCATTATTCTTGTGAAGATTAAAGTAAGTAGGCACTTAGACATGGGTCCTTCTCAAGCCATGATTAAAGCCAGAGGTGGGCACAAGGGAAAAGAAATGTGGTCTCTTTCCTTTTTCCTTCACTTTTCTCAACTATCAGAAACTTTACTGAGAGGGAATAGAAAGGTTGCCCATTGTTCCTTCTCCTCCATGGATCCTACCTTGACTATTTTAATATTGTTCTAGATAAATACTTTCTTACCATATTCAATTCCCTCTATTGAAGGATTATCTGCATACTTATATTTTATAGTCATAGCTACATTAGTTTTTATAGGAAAAACCTTAGCATTTTTCCAAAGCTAGAATATTGTAGGATGGATCCTCTTAACATTTCGTTATTATTTGGCATTTTCCTTCTTATAGAATAGTATTTTGTAATATAATATTAAAACTGAGGTGGTTGATGGATCACGGGTTAGATAGTGGCACAATTTACCAGAAAATCTTTGCAGGGGGTGAAAATGAATTGGGCAGTTTTTGTCTATAGATTATCATATTGTAGTTGCAAACTCGTGGTTCCATTAATTTCATTGATATGCCTTATTAAAATTTGCATTCCGGTATAAATATTTTAACAAATTAGTGAGACGCGAAAAAGAAAAACATATTGATTCTTTCTATTATTATCATTACCAGCTTAACAATTTTTTCAAGAAACATTGGGTTGTATTTTGATGGGTTATATTATACTATAATCTACTTAAAACCAATATAAAAAATTTCTTACCATAATTTTGAACTATGAAACTTTTTCTGTATTAAAAGTGGGTTCTTCTCAGGTTTCAATATGCAGAGATAAATTACAGAATAATCAACAACTGGTAAAAGCAGCATTGCTACACGTGTTTTGCCAATAGTTAGCATTTAAGAGGGGACTAGAGAGGAAATATTTTTCATTTCTATTGTTCAGTGGTAAATAAATTAAGAATGTATTCTTCTAATGTCAACAATTGGAGTGGCTAGTGGTAGAAAATATGCCTGCTCGGAGTAGCTTAAGATTTTAGCCAGTAAAAAGAACAAAAGAAGAATTAACTACTAAGCCTAATTTTGCGCCCCCTTGACAAATTTGTATAAGCAGTTGTCAACAAAAAGGACAAATGCAACCTTGATTCAATCATTCACAGTATAACCTTAGATTCAATGCCCAATTATTCATGCTACATTACACTTTCTTTTTCCCCAAATTCAAAAGAAAATACAGATCAAACAAGATCATCAACAAATAAACCAATAATAAGCCTCCCAAAATTCCAAAGACTAAGAAACAAGTTAACAAATTAAGCCAAAATATTTCTAATTAAGATCCTAAGAATGATGATGATGATTAAGATGATGTTAATGAGAAGAAGAAGAAGCACTTAGACACATATATCATATAAAAACTGATGATGATTGATTCACAGCTTAGCCTAATGAGCCATGGCTACCTGAGGCTGTGAGTAACTGATGCTTCTTTGGTGTGGCATGGAAAGCATAGCAGTGTGATCCAAGAAATCTTTGAGCTCCACAACAGATTGCAGAATAGTCCTCAGATCTTCAGCATAGGAAAAGCCAAAGCTTCCAACTTGCCTTACAGCATAGACATAGAAAGTTATGCAACCTTTTCTGAACTTGAACCTCGCCATTTCACAACCATTGAGACCCCTTATGAGCCTTTTGTTCACATCACCAAGTGCTATTTCTGGTGGCCATATTCGATCCACTGCACCCTTCATGGCTTCAGTTTCAAACACAAAGAGAAGCACCTTGGACTTCTTGGTGCCAAGGCCAAGTGTGAGAGTGTGCCACGCATGATGTGCCAAAATGGTGAAGTTTGTGGGCAAGAATGCTGTGGTTGAAGGGAAAGGAAGCTTGTCCTTTGGTTTGTTGGTGGTGTTGGTTGGTGGAAAAGACAACACTTTTAGAAGCTCTAGAGGCCTTGCTCTTCGGATTGTGAATGATTTCACTATGAACTGCCCTCCAAATCTGATACCCTTTACCTCTGAGCTTGGCTTGAAGGAAAAATCTGAATTGTGCTTGGTGGTTTGGTCATTGGGGTGTTGGTGTTTTTGCTTCTTGTTCTTGTTTTTCTTCTCCTTTTCTCCCATGTCGAGAGGGTGAGAAATTGAGGGTTTTTGGTGGACACAAATTGGTTGGTTATCTTGTTTGATATCATAACATGACCAATACAAGGCTTTCAGTGGTATGTACTATGTTGTAGTAGTAGTAACCAGTACTCAGATTTTTTCTGGGTGTGTTTCTTTTTCATACCGGGGTTGATTACAGTCAAAAAGGTGGAATAACACTTGACAAATTTCAACCATTTGGTTTGGAAAAAAACAGGGCACTAACTAGTCTCATTCCATTCTTTTATATATATTTCTAAGTTACGTGGTGGGTTCGCTTTAGAAATGCAAATTAAATCATTTTATTTATGTAAGATTATATTTCTAGTGTTTCCCAAATATCTCTTCACACGTGATAATTAAGACACTGATTTCTTGAATATTCAATACTACTTTTCCTCAAAGCTTAAATTATTAATTAATTAAAGAGTACAGGACTAATTTTAATTTGTGTTTTAACTGGATTTAAATGAGATAATCAGCGGCATTGCCACTTGAGGGGAGATTAAACATCACATTTTAAATTAAGTTTTGCTGTTGAACTTTGTTAATGATTTAAAAGTATACTCTATATTGAATTCATATGGAAGATTTTAGGTGGAAATTATTCGGATTTTAAAGATAGAAAACTGGACAATACTGAGAAAAGCTAGATACAGAATCTCTGCCACCCGTGCATGCCCCAACTAAGTTCTGGCCCTCGAGATAATGAAGATATGTTAAAATTTATATAGGATATTGTAAATTTGTTAAAATCATTTCCTTTTATTGCACCACAACTAATTAAAAAGTGTTTTATAAATTCAAGTTAATCCTATCAATTTATTGCATTGATCCTCTTCGTTGTCATTTATGATGCTTGCATCAAACAAAAAGCTATCATTGCACCAAAAAAATTTGGTACCCACAAGAAACATAGGCTATCAGTTGCTCATATCATCTAACCTAACCAATCCATCCACCAATTAAAAATAATTAACCACTAGCATATGTCACAATAAATAAATACGTTATTCCCACACTTGAAATTTTATATACTTACTTTACACTTAATATTTAATGATCTAATTAGTGATTAAGAACATTTATCATTTTTTTTCTCAAAATATTTTCCCATCTGGCAAGTAGGAGATTAATCTATTAAAAGTACATTCATGCATCATCCTTCGTTTTCAACATTATTTTTTCCATATAAACTAAACCCTAAACCACATCTAAGTTATATAATTGAGTGGCAATGCATATTGAACTTCTTTGTGTACTTCTCTAGTTTATAATAAACATAAAAGAAGGATAATTGTTGTACATCCACAATGTGTGAATGCAATTAAATATGTGGACGATGTGTTGCATTGCAGCAAGGGGATCGAACCTGTTGTGTTGTCAAAACCTCAAGCACCGACACATCTTAGACATCTTTGGTACCCAAATTACTAGATTAATTTAGAAGAACAGCATGTGCAGCCATGGGATTGTGCTCATTAATCATAATTACCCTGCAAATGAGTTCACTAATAGAGATTGGGACCACGTAATGATGGTCTCTTAGAGAGAGGAAGGAAGTTGAGCTGCTTCCAGCAACCATAATAGCACCCATTTGTTTAAAGGTCTTCAATTTTCATAAGATTGCTAAAAAATATTTTAATTGTTATTGCTGTGAACATCCATATTAAAGAGGAACCAATTTGAATTATAAATTTGTTATTTGTTGAAAATATAGAAGTAATAAAAAAATTGTCTAATAAAATTCAAGTATAAGTTTATATTCAACATAACTAAAAATATGAAATAGTTTAGTGTTGAATTTAAATGTCACGACTTGAACTAAAATACATCATGCGACTATTTGTGCAGCATAGGATATGATATAACTGTTCAAAATATTGTTTAATAATACAAAGTATTCTTCTTATTTACGCATGATAAAAGAGAGTGGTTGATATATAGTTACATTTGATATTCTTTTTGAGAGAGATGAGGAGGTAAGCTTACCTCATTTGACAACCTGAAAGTTCCCTTACTAAAGTGTTTCCTTCTAAAGGCATCATTGCCTTCAACAACAATTAAAATCAAGAGAACATGAAGACAGACAACCTTCAACAACAACTTTATACTTGGCCCTAGCTAATAATAATCAAGTTTCAAGCCCATTAGATACCAAATCTTTTATTTATTCATCTTACTTTAAAAGGGTTTGCAATAATTTACTGTCAGAAGTAATAAAGATGTAAAATGAATACTCTCTACCAGTCATATGGCTTAGCATGTCTATATTAAATTTAAAATTAATCAGTAATTATATCAAAAAGAGATGTGGCAAATAAGAAACTTTAATTGCTCTATCTTTTTCTTTTATAGCTTGCTACAAATATATATACTTAGATCATGTAAATTTTGTTGAAGGGTCTATCAATTTCAAACACCAGATTTGATGGGTACTTTGACACAAGGTTTCAACAAAAAGTTAGTTCTTTTTTTATCAATAGGCTAATTCATAAAGATTATGTCTACATCCTCTTAATTGGCACGAAAACTACCAATTATGATCAATAATCTAACATGCAGAATTTCGTGTACTTCTAACAAAATCAAACAACTGATATTGACCTGTATTTTAAAATGCCAGAAGATATAGGTAAGAAACAGTTGTAAATATATGTTTGTGTTTGGCGTTTCAAGGACATTTTTTTCCTTTTCAAATTACAAGAAAAGTAAAAATATTTCCTAGAGGATATACTAAAGATTGTGTGAATATAATGCTAGATAACATTATCAATTATAACATTATTGGCTTTGAAAAGCCTCAGTTAAATTGATAAATATAAATGTAAATAAGTTGAACTATTTATAAATAAAAAATACTTATAATAAATAATAAGTCCACTTTACTTTTCTGTTCCGTAATTTTACTTTATCTAACATGGAGTTTTCTGCTAAAAACTAAATTATAAACTTATAAATATTTCAAGAAAATATTTAATATATGAAATAAAAATTAATTAAAAGTAAACTATTATTATATATAAGATCATATTTTAAATAATGAAATTGAACGAGTATTATGTGCAAGGGTTCTATCTCTAACGCAGAAGTTTAACATTGACTATTATTAGAAACTTAGATCTGATATTGAAAAGAATTGGCAAGTTTCTCTATGTCACATTTACAAGCAAGCAAATAAAAACAAGTAATCATTTAACAAATCTAAGCCCATTAGCTTCTATTGATTCCAATGTTTATTTTTGATCCTCCTATTGTTAATTTTTTAGTTTTTTGGATCAAATAATTCTAGGCCCATTGTATTCATGACATCCACACTGATTGCAGTTGTATAAAAAAGCGTTGAAAAACTAAAAATTTAAAAATAAAAGAGTTGTTTAAAAGAGTTTATAAAAATAATTTATAATTTTCATTATAATTTAATTTGAGTTAATAAATTTTACAGTTAAATTTATTTAAAAATTTCTTAAATAAATTAAATTATATATTTAAATGCCTCCAAAATCAGTGTTACAACAGAAACCATGGATGACCTATCCTACATATTCTTTTGAAAGTGTCCAACTTCATGTGAAGGTTATTAATTTCTATCTATCTTTTTTTTTTTTTGGGTGATTCCAAATGACCCCTTTTCCAAATTTGTTGACTAAATTGAACAGATTCAAAATTCTTTTATCAAGGTTGTCTGTTGTTAAGGAAACGAAAGAATCAACAAAAGTGCTTTACCAAACAGACAACAAAATTACTATTATGAAGGATCGATTATGAAAGCTGGACAGCATTGTTAAAGATGTTTCATGGCTTTTTGTAATACGAGAAATATATATTATGTGAATAGTACCAAAATAAACAGGAAAAGAAAAAAAAAATTAGTTGTTTGGAACGGATATGTGCTTGGAGAAAATCAAAGGATAAGTTCTGTTTGTAATGAACACAAAACGCTTTTAAAAATGGCATGGTTTTTTTCACTAGTTATTGAATTTTGGAATGCTTTTAAAATGCACATATGATAGTTTTTTTTCTTTCACAAAAAATAGTATTCAATTTTGGAATTGAAAATGTTAGTCAAGTTATTTTCTTTGTGGTGTAGCATATTCTTCCTCAACCAAATCTTAAATATCCTTTGTAAAGTTAACTAACATACAGAAGTAATGAGAATAACAATTGTCTGTCAGTACAATTATAAAAAATGTATTTTAAATATTTTAATTAATATGTTTATGACCCTCTTAAAAGAAAGAAAAGACATGGTATCTTGTGCAATGAGATTGAGGGGAGAAAACATGTAAAAGAAAAACAAAAGGAATAAAGTAAAAAAAGAAAAGAAAATAATTTAGCAGTGGAGAGAATCCCGGATTTCATCACTCTTGTGTTTCACTCACTATCAAATCTATCACTTTTCGATTAATTATTGTTGGCAATAATAGCCAATAGAGAGTCAGATATGCAGAAATCTTTTCTGATTTCTGAATTGGGTCAGCATAATTTAATGCGAGTTGTTGTATATTTGACAAATAAGTCACGGGTGCATTCATGGGCATGGATTCTCTGATGCCTGATGGCACCAGGTGCTCAAAGCATTTCACCATCCATTTTATCAAAATATTTATATTTATTATTTTATATAAAATAATTTAAACATTTTAATGATTGTAATGTTATCTGGTGATCAATTCAATATAAAGAGGATCTATTTGCATCCATGAACGCATAAAACAAACATTCAGAGGTATTCATGTTATCTCGTATATTGTATTTATTCAATTTTAGCCGCTAAATTTACATAAAAGGTGGATACAAACTGACCTTAAAGAACAACGATTAATCAAGTTACAGCTAAACGTTAATATCATTACAAATTGACATCCACCGAACACATATTTAGCAGGCAGGTAATGTCTTGCCAATGTTCAACATTTTTTTCTCAGAACTACATACATAAACTAAGGATAAGCTTGAGCTTTTAAATACAAACTTCAAATCAAAGGTGCTCGATAACATAAATCTGAATTAACTTGAAACTTAATTTCAAAATACTTTTAACTATTAGAACAAAATCATTTTTAATTGAGCTTTAATTATAAAATTTAATCATTCAAATCTATCATCTCCTAAATAATTGAGAAAATTTTGAAATTAGGGATCAACGGCACATTTCTTTAAATAGAGAGAATTAAGTCCTTCAGATTAATTATCTTCCAAACGTATTTGTTGACAAATGCCTTGATTTTAATCAAAATGAATGAGTTTGGAAATTAGGTACCACCACCAACGTTGATTAAGCCACAACTGATGTTATAATATTAACGTAATGTTCCTATTTATCATGCAGCCGTGGATCGACCATAATATTTAGTGCATGAAATGCCATGCCGGCTTAACATTTTTTTTTTTGGCAGAACAATATACAAACTAAATAAATGAGAATACATGAAATCATAATCACAAAGCTGCTACTACCACAAGGACCACATTGACACCACGACAATGGGCTTTCTCTCTATCTTCTTATCTTTCCTCTGATTATGACTTTGAAGCAACATGCTCAGATTCTACAATTATCATGGCCTGCAATAAAAACAACATATACACACATCGTAAGTGACAAGAGAGGTGCAGTACGGAGAGGAAGACACGTATACTTTTGTGAGTCCCACAATTTTATAGGATGCACAAAATGCATGTCTTTCTCTCCAAAAGACTGATCCAACAACGGTGGATAATCCAAACCCAAAAATTACAATATTTTGAAAAGAAAACACTATTTTATGTTTTTGGAAATTAGGTACCGAGACTCACTTGGATTAGTAGAGGTAATGACACCAGTGTGAGAGAAGTCACAATTGAAATCATGGCGACCATTGGCCTGGTAGTAAGCATTCATGGCATAAGTGGCAAGGGCTCTAACGTTGTTGGCAGCAAAGCAAACTCCTCCTGGTTGAATTGGCCTGCAATCAACACCTTGGCTGCACACATAGTTTATGTTGGCTTGTAGAGCATCGTTGCTAGCATCTGCTTTGGGCACACACCAACTTTGCCCTCCTGCTACTGGGCTTGCCGGTGTTCCTGCTCTCTGCATTTATTCATTCAAAAACATCTTAACAACATCATAAAACTAACAAATTGGGTCTGCTTCAAATGTAAATTATGCACTGCTCCTTTACATTTTCTAGTACTACAATAACAACCAAGCCTTTTCCTACACGTTTTCTAGTACGTGGACAAAAATTAAAGCTAGTAAGTAACTTTCTACTTAAATAACACCAAACCTTATAATATCAAACTGGCTTTCTGAATTAACAATGAATTAAACCAGTTTTCTGAAAAACAAAGAAATGTGTATTGAATGAAATTTGTTACAATTCTGAATCACCACCCATTTGACACTTTTCATCCCTCTCACACATCACCCGTTACATTTATCACTCTTCTCTTCCTATCTCTCTTCAAGTATCTGTACTAAATCCGGAATCAATGCAGTCAAAAAAAGGGTAAAATTAATGTAATAGAATGTAAAGTAATGATACTTTACAACTATACAAATTAGATGTAGTTTAATGCAAGCCACAAACTACATATATTTTTTTTGACTGCAGCGAATCTAAATCCTAAACATTCCTGTGACCGTTTGTTAGTAATACTAATATTATATAACAAAAGAGGCCATGTGACGAAGGAGACCATATAGATTCTCTGTACAAAGCACCATGCACCTTTATCGTTAAAGCCACATGGATGCACCTTCAATCTCAACCGTTAGATATGAGGATGACATTTAAATCATCAAAAAACATAAAAAGTTTATTATAATCAACAACTGTAAAGGCCGGTGCATCCATGCTATAGATCTCGAAGCATGTATTGTAGAAGCCACCTAATAAAGCAGCGCAGATAAAGAGGCAAAATAAAAAAAGCAAAAAGACAAAATGCACATAATGTAATAGTTCAAAATTTTGAAGATTAGTTAGAAAAATAAAAGGAAGTAGTAATAACAATATATTAAATTAATTAAATCAAATTAAACCTGGTCATTGCGCAATATTCCAGAGTTATAAACGGGTGTAAAATCGGGTTGGAAGAGGCCCCAATTACGCTCAGCGAGTGGACCGGGTTTTTGGTTCTCATTGAAAAGTGCGAAAATGTAAGTCTCGAACCGGCGGTTCGGCATTAACGGCGTTCCCTTTCCGGTTTCCAAGTGCTTAACGAGCTGGCCGTTATAAGACTGAGCGTTAGCGATGCTACACGCATCCCAACCGTCGCAAACGGAGGGCCACCCTGTCTCCCCCACCGCAATGTCCACGTCACCATACCCTATGGCCTTCATGGCCGAGTGCACTGCGTCCATCAATGCATCGAACTGGTTATTGTATGTTAGTTTTGTGTTCCTGTCAAACAAACCCCGGTTTGGTCTGAACAGTGCAAAGTTCACGTTCTTCGGGTTGTACCCGAAATACGGATACGGGTTCACCATAAAGGGTGTCTTCGTTTCCTTCAGAAACTTCAGCATTGGCCCCAACACGTGCTTCGCATACCCTGGCCTGAAGCTTCCCGCACTCGGTGGCAACGATGACCTCATTATCGCCAATGAATGTGCAGTCGTCACCTAAATCATAACCCCAAATATCAAATATTACATAGTTTTGTATTTTTTAGCTAAACTTTTTAGTGAACAGCTAGATTCTGTTAATTGAAGGTTCCAGTTCATGACCATGATCCCGTCTTAGAAAAATTATTATAAGCTACCATTTTAGTCATAATAGCATAAAAATCTTGACTTTATGAAACAGATTCATTTTAGACGGGAAAAAAATTGAGGTGGAAAAATTTAAAGGTGTTTTTTTAAATAAATAACCAAACATGTGACCTTGTGTGGGGATATGCATTATGCAAGCTAGAATCAAGATCAGAATATCTTAAAAAGCATGGAAATAAAAATGAAATTTTTTTAATGCATTTAGATCTTAAGAGAGATATTAATGATTGATGATTACCTTAACATCGGTGATACCCTCGGCGAGAAGAGCAGAGTGAAGGGTTCTCATGGCGGGGACGAGGTTACGGATCATGATGGCATCGCCCCAATGGAGGACCTCGCTTCCGACGAGGATGTAGTTGATTTTGGTTTGAGGGTGGAAGGGTTTAATGTTGGCGACCACCCATTGGCGAGCTGTGTCGATTTTCGCGAGGGCGGCGATGTCACCGTTAGGGGCGGTGACGGTCACCGAGATGCCGCTGTTGGCGAAGGCTTGAAGGATTTGTGGGTTCAAGTCAAAGATCTTCACGCGGTCGATGATCGTTCGCGTCTTAAGGAAGTTCGCCACCGCCGCCGGCGCCGGAAGGTTGTCACCGAGGGTGCCGTAGTTGACGCCGATGGAGTGTGCGGCGGTGGAAAGGTGGAGCAGCAACAGGGGAAGGAACAGAGCGGAGAGGGTCGAGGTGGTGGCCATGGATGGTTCTAGTGAGGGGTGGTGTTGTGTTTGGAGTCAGAGACAAATAATCATACTTTGCGTTTTATATATAAGTAGCTGTGAACGACACACATAGATTGGGTTTGAAGGAGACGTTTCAAAATAGGCTCACGTAAATAATAGAATGTCTCCGTTGTGCCACTTCTTTCTATTCTTTAGTGCACATGGCTAATCATGGAATCACTATAAATTATCTGAGGTTATTTGTTCTTACAATAGGTTGCTGTTCAATTCTATGTCAAAGTGTATGCTTACATGTTTAGGATAAATAGTTATCTTTTAAAAGAGTTATTTTGAAAACTAATAAAAACGTAATTATCCTTTTAAGGTTAATTTAAACACGGCATTTGCTTACTCTTAACGTGAACATGTTATCTTATGAGATATAAAATGATAATGTAAAATTGGATAGGCGTTGAAGATTGGTAATTGAGGGAGAGAAAGCGTTGAATGATTGGTGGGTAGAAAAGTAAAAGAAAACGGAAATGGAGGGATTGAAATGATGAAAGGAAGGAACAGAATCAGATTCAAAATTGAATATAAAGTCTAAATAAAAGGGAATGGTGGGGCAAAGAAGGTGTCGTCTAAGGAGAGTCAAAAAGTTCCTTAAGATTTCATTATTTTATTTATGGAATGTGAGAAAGTGTGATACAGAACCATCTTTACTGTATTCGTATCAGATTGACACGTATAAAGATCGTTCACTTTCTTTGACCTGTTTCTCTCTCTGTCTCAAAACATACGCGTTTTCGCGTGTAGTTTTTTGCAGTTTCCGCGATCCCTCGCCAATCACATTGGGCTTCATTATCGTTTGGGCCTTTTTTGTTTTTTTTAGAAATCACAGGATGGTTTTGTCCGTTAGAGTTCATATATGAATGTACTAGACTTACGTCACTGCATTAACCTTTTAAGTTTAATTATTGTTTCTTAAAATACTGCAAATATTACTATTTATATATTAATTGTTATTTTTAAATACTATTACTTCTGAAAATCTCTTATATATCAATATACATTACACAATATATATTTACATATAAATATTAAATGTACGATAAAAATGTAAGAAAAATAGAAAATAAATCTTTTTTATATACTTACAAAATATGCACTACATTAATATACTAATGTATGTTAATAAAGTACCAAACTGTTTAATCACGATTTATTTAGAAGTTTGTGTATATAATTTTTATGATAAAAAATTTCAATCTAACAGAGAAAACAATAAATCTATCGAAAAGTTGTTGAAAGTTGGAAGAGTAAATGTAACTCACAATTGTCCCTACTCAACAATGTATATTTTTTACAGACTTTTAAGACATCTTATTCATATATTTTTAAAAAATATTAATTAATTAATTTTATTTTTGTATATTCCAATATTAATTTTTGTCTTCTTTCTATCCATGGCTTCACCGTAATAAATGTTTTAATTATCCTTAATGTTTAAAAACTTTAAATTTTTAAATTTTAAATTTTAAATTCAAAGGTTCAAAATTTAAAATTCATATTAATATAACTATTATAATATTATTTCTTCTTCTTTTTAAATCTACATTCCCCTTAAAATTGTTTACCTGCTAAAGTTTAAAAATCTTCAACTATAGAAAGGCAGTTTTTTTTTTTGAAAAATGTATAAGTTATTTCCATTCTTGCATCCCATGGTTAATTTTTAAATTTATATTTAATAAAATTTACTATTTTATTTTTCTTTGAATATTCTAGCATATATTTTACCTTATAATTGTCTTAGTTTACAAGAAAAAGGTGTATAAATCATTCTCATTATTGCATTCAATAGTAGGGTTTTTTTTAAATTTATATTTATTAAGAAAATATTATAAATTTGTGTACTTTTATATATCTATATCTGGTAACCTTAACAAATATTTCAAATATCTTTATAAAAATATTTTATAATTTTTAAATTATTTTAATGATTTTTTAACAGACATTATAAGAATAAACTCTTTTCAACTTATTCAAAAAAATTATCATCAAATTTGTAGGATAAATCTTATAAAAATAACTTATTGATTAAATATTTAATTAAAGGTATGTTTGAAAGGAAGTTTTTAGAGGAGAAAGTAGGGGAGGACATATTTTTAAAATTTAAATTAAAAAAATTATATATTATTTAATATATTAATTTATATCTTTCATTTTTTAAATATATTAATTTAAATATATTTATTTAAAATATAAATTTATGCCCTCCCCTCCTCTCCAAAATCCTCCTTCCCAAACAACCCCTAAATTGTGTTTTCAAACTCAAAAAATTTTAACTATAGAAATAAATAGTTTTCTTTAAAAATTAGTTTGTAACTTCTTTTGATCCTTAATTACACTCAACAGTTAATTTTTTAAAATCCGTATTTAATAATTAAAAAAATATTACTTTCTTTCTACTTTTTTCTAGATCTATACCTCACCTTAATAAATGTTTTAAATACCATTAACGTTTAAAATTTTCAACCATGGAAAGAAGTATTTTTTTTTCGAAGAAAAAGGTGCATTAATTCTTTCCATTTCTACATTTAATTATTGTGTTTTTTAAATTTATATTAAATATAAAAATATATTTTCTTTCTAATTTATATAGCTATATATATCTCACTTTAATAAATCTTTTAAAGGCCTTTAATGTTTAAAATTTTGTCAAAGGAAAAGATGTGTAAGCCCTTATAATCCTGACATGTCCTCCAACGTTTAAATTTTTAAAATTCAAAAGCCTTTAATACAATAAGGTAGATATTAATTTTACATGGTTTGAATAATAATTAATTTATCAGATTTATTCAAAGTAATCAGAGCTTGCCTTTAACCATTATGAATACAATTGGTAAAAACCTTAGCCCTATGACCACTATTTAAATCATTTGTGGTGCATTGTGAACTCACACAACTCATTACCAAAACTCTTAATACATTGACCAAATTCAAAATGTTACGTCGCAATTGTCCTGTGAGACACGAACATTTGTTGGTGTCAGACTCTGAAACCGAGTCCGATGATGACATTAGAAGTGTTTTTTTTGGGGAAGGACTAAGAAAGAGAAATGGAAGTGGGTCAACAATTGATAAGGGGAATGACAAAGAGAAGAAGTTGCTTTTAGTTGACGATTCTAGCAAAGTTGTAAAACTATTCAAGCCTAAAGAACATGTTGATCGAGGTTAGCAATATATATCCTTTTGCTATACTGTTTTACATTTAAATTTCATCGGTACATATTTTTCATTGCAATTTTTCATGTATATCATCAAAGATTTTGATTTGTCTGAAGTAGAATTGGTGTTCAAAATTATAAATTAGGCAGAAAGATTTAGACCAAGTGACAGGAAGTTTCTTTTATTATTATTTTTATTAAAGATTTTGTTTTAATTTTGTGTCGGATGGAGTCATAGTCATGCCAATTTTCATCCGAATACCAAGCTAATTAAAGACTTCTTTAGTTGAAATAACTAATAAATTAATAAAACATTTAACGAATAGGCTATTCACGAAAGAGGATATATAAACACAGTTTTGATTAACTTTTCAATAAGTATTTATAGAAAAAAAATATTTTTTTAATAAATTAAAACAACTTATACTCTTTTACTTTTTAAAAGTTTATTCATTTAACTTCTTGAAAATATAAAGATAATAAGTTTATCTTAAATTATAAGAAGAGTTTCAATTGTTTTATCTTTTTTTCCCCTCTTAGCAGAAACTTATCTAAACTAGGCTATTTTCGTTTAAGAAAGTGTGAATAGTCTAAGAAATAGAGTGATCCATTGCTTCCACCCCACCCAAATTAAAAGCTTTGTTTTCTTGAAGATTTTTAATCTTAAATGATTCAAGATATTGATTATGATACAAGTACAACGATAATTCAATTATACTTAAAGCCTTAGTTTGTTCAATTGATAAAACTTTGGTGATGGTCGTAAGAACAAAAGGATTTAGGGAACGAAGAGAATTACCACTTCTTAGATAGCTCACATATCACATGCATTGTAAACAGATGTTAGAGAAACTTCCTTTTATAAAAAAATAAAAATAATGTACCACTTAACTGTATATATAAAGAAAACAATATTTATGCTATGAAAGGTGCACTTCATGGTATGAGAAATCCAGTGAAAAGTAAGTAAAATTGGAAAGAAAGAAAGATATTCTTAAATTGAAGAAGCCATATAAAAAAGGGGGTCAGTGCAATAACACTCTCATGCAGCAATCTAATGCCAAATAACTCTTTATGAGCACATAATCACTGAAAAGGGTCAACAATATCGTGGTTCAGAAATCTAAACAAAATAATAACACCGCAATACATGCATGACAATGGTAAACAATCTCATTTTTGTCAGGTTAACATGATAACTTAATAATTTGTTAATATTTTCTAATAATAAATAGTTAAAAAGACAAAAATTATGAATGAGAATCGGTGTTAAAAACTTTTAAAGGTATTTTAAAATCTTAGAAACAAATTAAAGAATTTAATCTTAGAAGAATAAAAACATTGTCAGCCCATTTTAAAATATATGCATATAGATACCGCGACTTTTTTAGTTTTACTATCTGCTTATAAATATTACATTGTGTTTGCATCGTATTACACACGAATTTGGAACAGTACTTGTCTTTTTAATTAAAACTTCATGCTAGATAGTATTATCAGTTTATCGCGTTTAGGTATAAGCTCTTAATGAAGCTGTTAGTTTGGTGGGGGAAATTACACATTACTGCACTCGAACGACATCTAAAAAAAATTATGGAGTCAATTAAAATCATGCTTAAGTGTTGAGAAGATACATTCTATATTAATTTTAATGTAACTTATCAAAATTAAATTAATCTTGAATGATTTAATCTCACCATTATTTAAATTTAATGTTATTAAAAGAGTGTAGCATAACTTTATAGTATTTCTTTTTATTTAAACCACAGGTCTACTTTATAAGAAGGAAACATACGTGATCAATCAAGAACAATCATATCATAATAGAGCTAGTTCTTCCGGC